TAAATTTTTACAACTGTCTTTACAAATTTAAACTTTAGTTAGTAAAGCTCAATGTATCACATGTTTTTTAATATGAATCCATTAAAATATATTTGTGATCGGGCTTCAACGACATTATCAATGTTGCGAAGACGTAGAGTAACTTTTCGTAAGTTACTACAGCAAAATTAGTTTTTGGTAATTGAATTAACTTTTACTGGAAGTAATTTATAAATAATACTAGTTATTTTACTATAGCAATATTCCTTGTTACCTTTTTTCCTCAATACATTTTAAGAACTAATAGTATTTATTTTGATTTGTGTTTACCATAATCTTTTTCTAATCTCATCATAACCAACCGGAACGGACGCAAATACTAATATTAATAACCGGAAGTACTTTCTGGACCATTTCGAGCACTGGATACTCACATCAAATGTTTGTTGTTGGTGAGCGGTGACATTTTATCAGGTTGGTTGGAAGATGATTAAAACAATTAATGCAAAATATATTCTATATGAGTATTTGATTGAAGTTTTAAGATATTGTGATTGTAAGTTGTCACCAAATATAGTATTTAAATATTACCATAGAAGTAAAAAAACACTTAATGTTAATTTGTTGTAAGAAGTTATTCATTTTACACTATGTAGTTCAAAGTTTATCCTTTGGTACCTACCCATATAATACCATAAATTGTTCTATGATACTACCTAGGTACTAGTATAAAATATGTTTAAGCGCCTGGTAGATTATTATGTTATTTAAGTTGTCACATAATGTTACTTTAATATTACCATAGAAGTAAAAAACGCTTAATGTTAATTTGTTGTTAGAAGTTGTTCATTTTACACTATATGTAGTATATAGGTACATGGGACCTACGTATATATACCTACCTATACAGTATACCTGGGTACTGGTATAAATGTATAAGCGCCTGGCAGATTATATATAGGCAACCATTACGATTACGGAGAGCATAAGTTTATGTTTCTTATCATCAGGATTGGCAGTTTTTAACACTTGAAATTGCATAAATATGAGCTAAAAACATGCAATAAAAGCAATAAAATATGAAAAAAAACTGGAATTTATTAACCACTTACCTACAAATTATTATAGGTACTGAAGTTTTGAAATCATTATCAAAAAATTAAATTTTCCAACTATCAGGATTCGTCTCAACAAGCATAACTTAAAAGGATCAACTATCGATAACTAAAAATTATTTACTGTAAAAAATTTTAACTTATAGGTCGATGAAGAAGTCATAATATATTACAATAAAAGGGAAAATAGAGTTTATGATGCATAAGTTACATATTTTAATAAATCATTTTGTCAAATATTCGTAGAATACCTCGGTCCTGTACCTACATACTTCAACATTTTGCCCATCAATATTAAAAAGAATTCAATATTAGATTCAGTATCGTCTAAAACTTAGCGAATCTGTTAATGGAACATATACCTACTGCGTTTGTAGTTGTTTAATAACTACAGTTAATACTTCAAAATTGGACTTGATATAAGCCAAGTTACTTTGTAAGTTCGGTTGGGAGACACATAGTTTTGCCTTTTGAATAGGTACCTACTAACGGCATTATTTTCGACTAATAAATTTATAATGAGAACAATCGTTTCAAAATGTTCGCAATAGTATATTGCAGCATCCAACCGTGTTCCCCAACTAGTTATTATGGGTTCTAGTGGCAATTTAAGCAAGGTTTTCGATAATTTCAAATTACTTTTGTTGAGTACCTCCTATTCATAAATCACGTTCATGTGCAACATTTTTGTGACAAATAGCTACACAAATAGTATTACGACACTCAAAACAAATGTTTGCAATTAATCGTTCAACATTTTAATTAATACATTTTGAACAATGTTATTATCCATAAATCATTGAATATGAGCCAGTGTAGCAAAAAATCTAAAATCTCGTTTACTAAAATTAAATTTGATTGAAAGCAGGTAAAAATTCAAAAAAATCTTAAAAAGTCCAAAAATAGCACTAAAATCCAAAAATTCGAAAAATAAAATTTTAAAATTGTGTTCTGTGTGTCCAGAAACACATTATCAGCTTACTCTGCTTTTTGTTATTCATCTTATAAGACAGAGTTTCCCAAACCATGGGTCTCGACGTTTTTTTGATGGGTCACGACTCGCGGTTACGATTACTGTTATTTTAGCCGCAAATTGTTATCTCTATATTGTATGGTAATAATGTGAAGTCCGACTAGTATTGTAGAATGTATGATGGACCTTTTTTTTAGCACGGGGTCGAGTACTCAATAAAGGTTAAATTTATAGGTCGCTATTGCAAAAAGTTTGGGAAACACTGTTATAAGAAATATGCAAATGCTATAAAATCCCGACCCCCGCTAATCATTGACTAAGACGTACCGTCATAACTCATATTATAGAGTAGATTTTGCCTTGTAGGTAGGTACCTCTTCAAAATTTGATTTTTAAACAGAAATAACTATAAATAATTCCCCTGAAAAATATTCTGCAGAAATGTGAAATAAAAAATTGTTAGTAGGTATAATATCTCAGGTACGTGTCCTTGATTAGCAATCAAAACATTAGGTTATAAAATAAAAAACGCCACAAGCTTAAAATTACCTAATAAAAATATTCTTTAAATGTGTGAATGGAAAAATTTATAGTTAATTTTTCAGTTAAAAGATACGTACACATTTTAATTCCCAAGGATTCACAAATAATATTTTTGAATTAAAATGAAATAACGAACATTTTAGTTATGGTCATTGGTCATCGTTCGTTTAAGTAAGTATCCAATGTCATTGAATTTTAACTTAAGTTATAGCCTTAGAGGCAATACAAATTCTTTTTCAGATTTGTTGGTTACAATATTAACTTTTTATAAGAAACTTTGTTTTGAGTACAATCGATGTTTACCTGTACGAATCGAATATCCTATACTATATTTTTAATTACAAAATGATTTGCAAATTGTTGTGACATTAACTATTTTTGTTAAAATTTGAACTTGAAATACTTAAAAATAAAAAGTGCAATGTAGGTAACTTCAATATTTTTAAATTACTATTAAAATAACTTATATGGAAATTTGCATTACATTTTCAAACTTCTTAACTAGGTGAAAGATTTTGGTTCAACATTTTTAGAATAAAAACTAAAATATATTTCTTAATCTGCGACTATTTACATTGGCTAAGAATCAAAATATTTTGCTATAGTTGTAATAGTTATTTTAATCGTCAATATCCAGTTGCAACTATTTCAACTTCAAGCATAGGCTTTTACGGGCCAATTTTACCTCCGATTACTCAGCTCAACCTAAGTACTTTACTTACAGAAAAAGAGTTTAAATCACCAAAACTCACAACACCTACATTTCATGTAAATAAAAATAACAATTCAATCATCTGAAAATATGGTCTTACATTTGGAAATTTAAATTAGGATGGCATGCTCGGTAATCACTATGCATATTTTTAAATTCACTTTATTCAAACAATCAAACAAGCAAAAATAAAATCACATTTCTATTCAATAATGTTCTGATCAACATTGAAATTCTCACATATCGCTTTTCGAAATATATTATTTAAATTTTCTATTTTTTTCTTTAGTTACAAAACCAAAAATAAAAAGTACAAAAATAAGGTAAATTAAAAAAGTTGTATAGTCGTATCAATCGCAACATAGGGACTGGAATTATGTTTGTTTATAAATTATAATTTATAATAGGTATAATGTATATATACTGTTAATATCAACTAAATCATATTTGTATATTGTATAAATATAAAGGCATTATGTCCTCGTTTCGAACAATACTATTCGTGTTACATTAGTATGGAGGGGAGGGGGGAGGGTGAAAATAACAAAATCAAACAATTAACGATTGATTCACAAGTTTTCAAGTTTTACATTTTCATGTGTTTCAATTAAAATTTATCGCCTTAGTTACTGTTAACCAAAATCAAGAATTCCTTAGTAAAAATGTTTTAACTAGTAGATTTAAGTTAAGCAAACTGTCGTTTACTGTAATAAATGCGTATGCATAATAATATTACATAGTTTTATAAGTCTTTCCTAGTCTCATTAATACTACATACATATACATACTACATACAATTTTATCATCAATTTTCAAATACTATTTTTATCAAGCATAACTTCAATGAAAAGTTTAATATTTCTAAAGTGATTTTGATTAAAAATATTGTAAGATGGAATTTATTGAAAAAGTTTCAATTTTTTTTTTTTAATTTCAATAAGTAAATTGGATTTCAAATTGATTAAAATGGAGTGATAAAAATTGTAACAATTACATATTAAAAACTTCTGAAATCTTCAAATATTAATATTTATTCACCAAGTCTTTAGAGCGAGCACCAAAAAGAATATATTAGGTGTTGATAAAATATGGAAATCTAGTACAAATATTTTATATCTATTATAAATTATATATCAAAAAATTGTGTTTGAACTAACATTGGACAACAGAAAAAAATTAAAGTAATTATCTAAAGTATACAATAACACAATAACGGGAAAATTAATTAATTTGTTCATTAAATAGGAAAAGATGCAAGAACATTATAATATGTTTAATGAAGATAATTGTTGTACTCTCCAGAATTAAGTTATTATGTTGTTGATACAATTAGAGGCACAATACTTGGTAGTGTTTATACATATTTTATATATTGTATTGTCATCAAGGAACATAATTTGAAACAGATGAAAAAAAAGTTACGGTTAATAATAATCTATATACATAGTGGTTCACTAAAGGTGCTCAGTTTTTTCTCATATATTTTTAGTGCATTTTTGAAAAACAATTTGAATGAAGCAAATTATATTATACTAAAATATTAAGACAGTTTTTATCTTTTAACCAAATTTTCATTATTTTAAATGAAAACTTTGTGTATTTTTTATAATACAATAATTTTTTTGATTTTAGATTTATGAAAAATATAAATTTCTATTATAAAAAACTGTAAAGAAAATATATAGAATTTAATTTTAATATTCAATAAATAGGTATTTTCTACAAACATACTACATAAACAGTATCAAGGAACACTCTATTACTAAGTATCTAATGCATATTTTTAAATTTTATCTGTTAGAAATATTACTAGATTACTGGGAAATAAATTTCTAAGAACTATTATTTTTACTAACGTATGTATTTTTTAAAAGCTCAAAATAACTTTCGAGAACTATTAATTTTGGATTTAGAGTACTTGATGATAAAAAAACTTACTACAAAATTCAACATATGGAAATATGATATTGATAAAAAATGGGTTCTCATAATGAAAAATAATTAACTTGTGTTGCACATGTGCAGAATACAATAAATGACTGAGAAATTGATGGCCTAGTTTCATATTCCTCAAATTAAATTTAAAAATATGCATAAGGTCCTGTTATAGTATTCATAGACACAAGATGTAGTGTGTATTCAATATACATATACATGTATATCTACAATTTTCTTTCAACTAAAAATATTAAAAGGAAAATACAGGCACATTTAATTTAGTGAACCATATTCATGTGTTTATACACATATACAAACACAAGCATAATACATAAACCTGTATAATATATCAGTCCAAAATGGACAGATTTTCTTTGTAGAACTTAAAATATAACCACTATCTATGTACATATACTAAATATAATAATAAACAATACAACATCATGATTATAAAAAAGAATGGTAGAAAATAAATATTATATTTTAATACACAGCAGGCAAATGATTGCAAAATGTTCACCAAATATTTCAGGCAAGTAGCACACACACGTATGCATGACCGGCCTTCAAGCCAGGCTCACAATATGGCGCAGCAACGACAATAATGTTGGCGACTATTGCCAGTGGATGGCGGCGGTGTCACAGGCGCAAAGTATGCGTGCACGTTTATGTTAGGCGAGTGTGTCTAAATGGAATAATATAAAAATTAGTTACAGATTACAACAAAAAAATTAAAGAATTAGCAAATTACTATGATAAATGTACTATATTAAATTCAAAGCATTATTTGTATTTAAGTTCCATCTATTGTGTATTTTCACAATAAAATTGAAATATTTTCAAAACCTTTAGTCTTAATTACGAGGACGCTACACCTGCATGCACTATCTCCGTTTTAAAAATGCTTATCACAGCAAATTTTTTTGCTCAGCACGTCATGTTTGGATCTGTTAGCTTAAAAATTAAGAGTAAAATGATCTCTTATAAAATGTGAAGGCAAGAATATTATCAAGTGAACCTCAGGTTTTTTTTTAGATATTAATTTTAAAACAAGTTATAAGTATTTCAAAATGCACACACAATTTACTATTTTAAAGTACTCATAACTCGTTTTACAATTAAAATCTTTTTTTAAACAAGATATGCGTATATAATAAAACAAATTAAAAATGTTCATAACTCACTTAAAAATTAATTGTTGTAAAAAACCAACACAGGAACACTACTTAATGAGCTAAACATCATCTGCTTAACTTAAAATTTGCTATGTTACTCATTTGAAAGACGGACACAGTATATGCGGGTGTAGCACCCTCTTAAGACTATCATAAGTTAGCCAATACATAAAGTATAAGGTTTGGCAAATTTTCACTTACCCGAAGACGTTTTATTCCATTTCTGGTAATGAGTTGACAGTCATACAACATTATTCTTTGCAAGTTGTGACAATTAATTAGGTGTTCTAGAGATGCATCCGTAATAAGAGGACAGTTGTCCAATTCAAGCACAGCCAAATGTTCAGATGCACATGTTGAAGTACTCAGATGTCTGATGCCTTCATCAGTGATTAGTTCACAATGTGATAAACTCTGTAATTTAAAATGTTAGTATAATTTAAAATTAATTGAAGAAGAATAAATCATCAATCATATATACCAAATTCTCGAGCCGGGGGCATCCCATTGCTAAATGAAATAGAGTTGAGTCTGTAATAAATACACATTCTTCTAAATCCATTTTTTCCATAAGATGACACGTCTATTAAAAATGTTTGGTAATGTAAAATATTTAAAAATGTAGAAAGTATTTATTATTACTTTTGATAATGCCAAAAATCCTATGTCGGTAAACTGTGAACAACCAGCTACTTCTAATGTATTTAACTGATAGCATTGTTCAGCTAAGGAAACAAGACAGCTATCAGTCAATAAAGAACAGTTTGCAAGACATAAATATTTCAAAGAATTACAGTTGTTGGCTAACTTTATCACAGCTTCGTCTTCAATGTTCTAAAGAAAATCAAAATTCAATTATAATTGAGTTGAATGTAAATTTAACAATTCACTATACTTACATTGCAGCCATGCAAATTTACAACTTCTAATTTTACACAATGTTGTGCTAAACAACTGATTGCTCGTGTTGTCATTCTTGTACAGCCTTTGGATATAAACGATTTCAACTTTGGACAACCGTGTGCTAAGGCTTCCACACCTTTAAAAATTAAAAAATAATTTAAATAAGAAGAGAACAAAAGAAAAAATATTTACCGTTTTCTGTTATACCATCACACCATGATATATTAACACTGGTTAAATTTGGGCAACCATCAGAAATTGCTTTTAAAGATAAATCAGTCACCATAGAGCATGAACCAATATCCAATGACAATAGTTTCTTACAATATTGACTTAAAGATTGACTAGTGCTGTAAAGAAAAATGTTGAAACATCCTGATACACACAACTTACTGTTTTACTTAGTTAAATTTACCTATCTGTTATTCTCTTACATCCATTCAGATTTATATATTCAATATAATTACAACACTGAGCAAGAGTTTTCAGAGAGCCATCCCCAACAGATTGACATCCACGCAAACTAATTTGTCGCAAGAAACCACCACACCGCCGTGATATATTTTCTATTACTGGACCCTAAAAATTATATTTTTATAAACACTAATTATGTGCTATACAACTACCAAATTAAATTTACTTCGACATCAGTCTGAAATTCAAATAAGTCAATCTTTTGCCAGTTGCTTCCATCTAATGCTAATACATTCCAAGCACGAGATACTTGAGCACATCGGCATAATGACACAACATCTAGGTATGAAAATATCCTGAAACATAATATTATATTATTAGTTTTTTATTATATTTCAGTACACCCAACAAATAATAAATTTAAATTTGTACCGTAATAAAAGCTCTTTTGGTAATTTTTTATTTATTTGAGCGTCTTCATCTAAACATGTTTTGGACAGCTGATAACATGATAAAGAAAAATAAATACATGAAACGGATAGAATAATAGTATTAAAATATTACTGGAGTACAAGATTATAATAATTTGTTAGTACCTGAACATAACTATGTTTCATATTTGAAACAGATGAATTATTGTGATGTTGCATACTTGATGGCACATCTCTTGTAAGCGTTTCCATGGCCATGTATTGTCGAGAATCAATCTGCTAACAATATAATAGAAAGAAAGAAATTAATGTATATGAACTTCAAAAATAAAAACATTTGACCTTATAACTTTAAAATACATTTCTTTTAGGTACTATACCTAACTAGGATAATAATAATAATAATAATATTAAATCAATAGTAATAGAAGTACTTATCTAATGTACTCAATGTCTTATCAAAATTCAAGCATTCAATTAACATAAAAGTATAAAACGTAATAAAATATTTAAAAATAAATGCTGTCGTATGGTAAAATTATTTAGTAAATTGACCTTAACTAGTCGTAAACTTACAGACACTATTGAGATATAAAATAATAATTGTGCAGATTGTAAACATGAACAATGTTAGGTACTACTATGTATTTTTTTGAGTACACAAATAAAATAATAATAATGAATATATTATGATATTGTTTTATTATGAACATTATACTATTGAAGAGAATACTGATTGCTAACTGACCTTAATACCCTATATAGAACTGTTGATGTTATGCTATAAGGTAAATATACTATATTATTATACTGAAAATTAGATAACAAATTGTTGTTTAAACAATGAGCTAGTGATATGAACATTATTATGTATATTACGTAAGTATGCACTAATAATACTTATTCTACAATCTAGGTACTTAACTGCTGTGAAACACTAAAATATCTAATAGATTATTTTAAACACACTTAAGTTATTGATAAGTGATAACAATTGCAACGGCAATTAACTGTTCATAACTACGTTTCAATGTAGTTTCAATGGTTTGTTTATAATGAGTAGGTATAAGCAAAAAAAAAATAGTAATAAATTGCACACAAAATATCAGCGCCACTATAGTACTATTTTATTAGAGTGCATTCTTGTACCTATACTATAATCTCTGTTTGTTCTATCAATAATAAATAATAATCTCGATAATAACAAACAATATTTATTTAGCAGTATTGAAATTTACAGGAATGGGTGAATTTATTAATATTTTACTGCATTGTCTATCACTAAGGATACAATTTTTGATAGACAAGCCTATAAAAAAATTAAAACAATATTGATAATATTTGAATTCTAGTGAACATTGCATTAAATAATTTTATCTACATAAACATTGTTTAATTTTCATACATAAATTATGCCCAAAGTTTACCAGTCAAAGTTGCTCTGAAGGATCAATCAATATAAAATTGTAATTAACTTTTATAATTTTAACCTAACTTGTTACAATATCTAATATGACACAAAAATAAAGCTAATATAGGTAGTATTTAATAAACAAATTTGTTTTGTGTATTTCATTTTCTTTGTTCATATAGGTGGTAATTTATTCTTAGAAGTATGTAACAAAAATTAAATTCAGTAGAGCATAAAGTAATGTCATTGTGTAACGTGTAAGTATTATTTCATATTTTATTAAAAGTTTTTAACCAAAAAAACATTATTTATTCATTTAACAAACAAGTCACCCAAATAAATATCGATACTTATGATCAGTAGAAATTGTTTAATAAATAAACCGACTCTATTACTGTGTCTCTATTACTGTCTATACTCGTTTATTTAAGGCTTAAATTTCTTTTACTGGTTGGCGTAATAGTTAATTTAGGTGATAAGCAAACATAATAATATGTAAATAGATCAATAATTGTGGATGACAAAAATATATGCTGAACAACGCCAAACAGTAAGACGTAATGTATTCTTAATTCATGTCTATGTTTACTAAAATATTTATCGTTATTAAACAAAATTAAACTAGATAATAGGTTTACAAGCACAAATCACAATCAAAAAAGATCATTGCAAAATTAGTGAATCTATAAATTTGATAAACGATACTGTTGTGCAAGATTTAAAGAGGAAGATTGAACCTAAAAATACATCAAAAGATATCCAGGTACTTGAGTATTGTTAGACTTAAGGACAATTTTACGACAAATAACAGCCTTGTTATAACGGCAAGGCCGTATACAAACTGCTGGGATATGGACTGCCAACTAGTGGCATTCAACCAAGCGCACAGGTATGACACAGCCGCATTGAAACTCGTTGGATTTTCTCTCATCTCTATCACCACCAACTCTTGTGTGTACTCTACGTCTCCTCAAACACCATCTCTGATCACTTGCAATTCGGGCCATGGCTACTTATATACCATAACATGACATTTGGACATGATTTGCGCCACCTCTGCCCCAATTTCCTTGTATAATTTTTATATTTAACTCGACTGGGTCTATTCGAGTATCATTTTTCTCGAACAAACAACACTCAAGTTCTTACCTCCTACCTATTGCGTATTTATAATTAAACTATTATTAATATTTATACGTCGATTAATAATTACCGGTCACATTTACTGGCTTCGACGTTCACCCGATCGATCGTATGCGACACCGGAACGACGGTCGTGAAGAATTCGTCGCACAGCCTTCGTCGTTATCCTCCACAGTTCTTACGTACTCTCCCACGCGGCAACGGAACGCGACAAAAACCATTGTCCGGGTCGTCGTCGTTGTTGTTCCGCCGTTGTTGTTCCGTCGCAATCGTCGTCGGCGAGGCTATCGCGTATTCGCGTCGTACCGCCTCTCCTTTACCGCCGTCGTAGGTTTTCCCACCGCCTTCGATGTTTGTTTCCCACCGCCGAGCAGGTCATTCCGAATTGTCCACACGTACCGACGTGCACATGACACAAACCGTGTAAGCTTATTCAATGTTTGAGCATTGCAGCCATTTTTTTATGATCGTCGTTATAAACCCGATACGCACCGAACAAAGGACTTTACCTTAAGTACTACGACGTTAAAAATTATGCAATAATAATAAACTGCTCAATTGCACACGGTCACAATAATATTATAATGCGATACGATAATAACAATATAATATTAATTCGTAGGTATATTATAATGTAATATTATACATTAAAATTTAAAACGAGCGCACACACACCGCTGGCACGCTCAGCGGTTCGACTCGCCACTGACGACTACTGAAGCGTCCGAAGCGATAATAATAATTACCAACTATTAAGTCATAACAAAACAACAATAAAATTGTGTTACTGCCGCTCCGCAGAGATACGAGCACGGAGTGATACGACGGTACGAACCGACGACACTCGACGAGAGTTGTAGGCTTGTAGAGTACTCAAGTACAACCCGATACTCGACTCGACCGACGAGCGCGAACTGTGGTCTTATTGTATTATAATAATATGTAATATATTATTATGACTGTCAACTCACCGTCGAGTGCCGAGTGTGTCACTCAATGACTCAAGCCAGTCAAGAGGTGTCGGATTGGTAATCGTCAGACGTCGATCATCACTCGACGGCACACGGCAGTGCAGCGGTTCGGCGCGGAGGAAAGACAAAGTCGATCAGCTGTTGTAGATCGGATCGACCGCAGCTGATAATATCGACGGTGGCGGCGATCGCGATAAGCCGACTGTGGTCGTAGTGACGTAGTTTCACAGATTAGTGACGTAGTGTCGTACCTGCTCGTTCGACAGTCCAGACAAACCATGTTATAAAATATAAATTTATTTCTTTTTACAATTTATTATGAAATATTCAAATATTGTATTAAAACCAGTTATATTAAAATGTATTAAAATTAATTGATATATTATGATATTTTTAACTCATAAATAATATCATAGGTACTTAAAAAATTATACACATGTTATAATTTATGATATATAATTTAATAATTAAATATAATTATGTACAAGGTGACGTTTCAAGCATACTCATCCTATTCGTATGCTTAAATTATGCATGTATAAAAATTCAGATTTTTGGAATTTTTAAATACACTTGGTGACCATTTTTCTAATCAGTGAAATTGTTTGTACCACTTGAGGATGATCCAGTGACAATACAAACTTCAGTTTTTTAAATAGGAAAAAGTCCTAAACGGTTAACTTAGTCCTTAGTTCCTTACTACAAATCCTTTTTAATTTTTAATTATTGAACAGATATTTTTTTTGAGAATTTTGAAGTATCTAAGTAAAAATTCAAGATAGTCGTTGTTGAGTTCTGTAACTTTGTGTATTAATATTAAGACTGTTGAAAACGGGTCTTTTTTTCGTGTATTTAGACCAATAATAGAAGAAGAAAAAATGTATACTCCAGAAGTCCGATAATAATTTTGAAATAATATTTGAACTCATAATTCTTTTTTCTAGGTTATGTAGGAAATAGATTTTGAATTTTTTTATCACACTCAAGTAAAGGTGAATTTTGAAGAAAAAAAATTGCCTACTTATTAATAATACGGTAGCGAGTAAGTTAAATTAAAATTATGCATAAATTCATAATATTTTTGTAACGCTGGAAAATATTATATTTAGGTACAAATTACAACAAAATGACTAAAACCGTTATTCTTTGTGTCAATATAACTGTATTTATATACTTTTTAGATGTTTGAGTTCGCAGAGGTTAGGTTAGCCCTGATCTGGATGGTATTAAATTTGAATTCAATGATATCAAATCATTGTATTCGAAAAACGATTATGAGCGGAGACGGTATTTCAGTTTACGATATTTTACATTGTTATTACTTACCTATTATAAATATGGTAGCCAGTAAATTGAATTAATATTATTCTTAAATTATCAGTGATGCTGGAAAAATATTAAATATATCTATGTGAAATTGCATGGGCTGTGTTGGAACCAAATTACAACAAAATGGTAAACGTTATTCTTTGTGTTAATATGCAATTATATCCAAATTTGAACTTAAAATATCTGTAAAAAATAACTGTGTTCATATATTTTTTAGATTTCTTAGTTATGGATAAGGGGAAACTTGTTTTAAATTTTCAATCCTTAGCTATAAAAATTGAAAAATGTATACATTTTTAACTACAAAATCATTGTTGATTTTCAATTTTATAAATATTGTCAAAATTTGAACTTTAATGCTTATAAAAAAAATTGTGCCTATGTATTTTTTATATTTTTCAACTGCTATTGTAACAAGTTATCAAGAGTCTTGTATTAAATTGTCATGCTCTTTGACCTAACCAATAAAATTGTATTGACATTTATAGAAAAAAAATGAAAAAAAAGGAAAATGGAAATGTTCGTATACAGCCTAAAACGAGTCAGAATATTTTGAAAATTTTATCAAGTATATTAATTGATGAAATAAAAATGTGGTGTACATTTCAAGTGTCTACAGTATTTCGTTTTAGAATTACAACAAAATAATAAAATCACTACAAGAGAAATCGAGTGAATATCCAATGTTGTAAAAATTTCAACTTCAAACTCTGATAAAAATTTAATTTAACTTTCAGGTAGACATTTTTTTTTTAATAAAGGTAAATATACTTATAAAGAATCCTACTGCATTATACCTTTAAATCTAAGATCTAAAAAAAAATTTTTTATGAATATTTAACTAAATATAATTTGCTAATTTTCGTGATTTTGTGAATTTGGTCAAAATTCTAAGTTTAAACGCTCATAAAAAAATTATTCTGGATTTACGCTCAACTTGTCATTAGTTATTTGGGCAGATGCTTATGTTAGTAGCATATCTGTAGGTACTTACTCAAAAACTATACTTAACCGATTTTATGAACATTTCAAATCATTCTTGGAGATATCAGGAAAAGCTTATATAAGGATGGGACAACTAGCATATATATATACACATTATAGATATTAAATAAGTATATTTGTAATGTGTTGTGTGCGAATATGTATGGATTATAGATTTAATAACTCTATAAATGACCTTTGAGGGAAAATAATAAAAAACCTAAACTCCCGTTTGCATCAAGTTTTGAATAACGATATAACTATATAAGTATAATGACAATTATTAAGTTTAAACGCTACAAAATATATTTTACAGATACACACAAGGGGCCATAATATAATGTAACGGAAGAGGGGGGGAATAAATCGCTTTCAAAAGAGGTTCAAAATGAATTTTGTATTAAGTCAAAGTCTTGCAATCAAAAATAAAATTTAAATTATTGTCAATTACGAGGTGCTTGAAAATGGACCTGCGACCGTCATGTAGCTAAATTGCCTATATAGGGTTCCGTGTTACCGTTATGTAAGTATACTTGTAGTCAATATAGTTTTATCATAAGTATGGAACTTTACAACGTGATCTCACGAGGTTAACCAGTTTGAAATATTTCATGACTCGTAGAAGTTTGTTGGAGTTAAAATTGATAAGGTTAGTTTTGAGAATTTTATACCTTGTAAGTTATAAGTTCTATGCGTAAAGGAAAGTTACTTTAGCAATAATCAACGCAAAGCCGAACCTGTTTGAGTTATCGAATTGATATTTTGAGGATATATTAATATAATAATATCAAGTTAATCTAAGAAAGAATTTTTCAACATTTTGATTTTAAAGGGTTGAAATCGGCAAAAATAAATTGTTTACGTATACATTGTATAACTACATACATATTTTACAGCACGGTGACCTGTGGGTTTCCATAACGATATTTCGATATGCAACCATAACTTTTTGTCCGTCTAACGTGTTTTTTTTATCTAATGTGTTTGATCGATATGAATTTCCGAAAAGTAAAATTCTACAATCTATCTACATCTATGACTTATGTATATAAAAATAAATCCCTATTTACCTTACTCCTTAGTCAAGGCATCACGCTTATCGCTTATCATTTAAGACAGACCCATCTATCTATGATATTATAAAAAAGTCAATTTATAATTTCTTAGTGCTCATTTCCACAGTCGAATCAATCGGAAAATTAATGAAAAGTTTTAAAGGTGTTTTTTGATAATTATTGTTTGTTTATCTTGGTTAGTTTAAGCAATCGCGCTTAAAATTTTAAACAAAATTAAGTCGCAGAACTCAATGCTATAAGTCAAAGATATAGAAGAGCAAGTCTAACAAAAATAAATAAATACATTTAATATAACAATCTACAATTAGATATAATAAACTATTACTAATTAGTGGCAAAGAATTTGATCTTAAAATTGTATAATATACCTACATATTTTCTAGCCAGTTATAAAAAGTATATTTAGTTTTAGGTATAAATTTATATTTTTATTCATTATTTAAAATTTAAACTTAAAATAATTAGACACAACTCAAAATTAAAAAACACTGTATATTACCTATAGATTTATCTAGAGTTAACAATTTTCATAAGTTAAATTTTTAATTTAATATTGTATGCTTAAGTTTTTAATAGTTAAATATAGTATAATATTAGGTGATTAAAAGTTTAAAAAGTTAATATACCATTTTCTTTCTATTTTTAAGTGTTTAACATATACCAATAAAAATGTTATTTAAAATAGAATTTGATAAACTGTAACAATGATTAACGTTTTTAAAATTTTAACTTTGAATCATAAAAAAGTTAATACATTTTTAATTAAATATAGAAAATATATAAAAACGTTAAATTTTTTTTATCAATGCAAGAATAGAGAATTTGAAATGTCAACAGAACTGGTCAGTATAGGTACTTTTGTCCAATGATTTCAACTCGATTGATGCATCTACAAAACTATAGAACTTTACATAAATAGCTATTATTGTTATCTGTGTTTCTATATTTCTGTTTGTATTGTTATCTTTATCTCTACTTCTACCTGCATTAATTAACCAGTTTACATTTAGTAGTTACTTAAGCGTAGCTGTGTTCATTTCATACTTGCATATATCGAACGATATAAGTGTATAACTAAAGCAGCATTACCAAATTTTACTTATGATAATAACAAACTAGAATAGTCTTTACAATAGGCGTAACTAGGGGGACTTCGGTGGGCTTCAGCCCTCCCTTCCCCCCAGAATTTCTTGACTGTATGAGGGTAATTATGTTCCCATACGTACTTTATTTTAGTATAAAACATTTTTAGCACTTTCAAACAGAGTATAGTTATGACTTTTTTTACTCATTAGCTAACAAGAGTAGTTCACCTGGTAGGTACATATTTATTATTTAGAAAAAAATATATAAACAAAATAATTCTATATTGTATACCACTTGCATATATAAAAGGTATTAGGCACAATAGTTAGTATTAAGTGTAATAACTAACAAGTATATCCTAACAAAAAAATATTCAAAATATAATCTATGGTAACAATGGAACTCACTTATCTGAATATAATTAAAAAGGAAAAAAATTCTATGGTTAAAATATATAGCTTATATAATAATATTAAATAACATAAAATTCAAAAAAAGGGTTTTTTGTGAAATAAATTATTATAAATATGCTTAATAATACTTAAATAAATAAAAAATGTTTGATTTAAATTCAAACTAAAGTATAGAAAATAAATAAATTTCTTTTTTTGTCAGTTTGGTATTTTCACAGGAACACATTTTTTAAAAATCCGATGATGAAACAAACTACCTTATGTATTCCATCCAAATGTCACGTGAGTAACAAGTAAGTACATGGTAGCAATAACTACGCTACCTAACATCACTGGGTATCCAACTCTAAAAATAAAATACAATTTAAATATAATTAGAAAAATATTGAGTGTACATAAATATACTCTATAAAGTTTATATTAAACTATTAAAGGGATTCAAAACCATCATATTTAAAAAGTTCAACACGACATATATCACATTAATGTGTACATAGCAACTAACAAATAATAATTTGTGTGTGTAACTGAAGTTTTAAAGATATAGTATTGGTTTTTCCACACAAAATGTCACCAATCCGTGGTTGATGAGTAATATTTTCTTACTCAAAAACGTACGTTTTGTTCATTGTCACAACAAAACTAGTAAAGGAATAAGAAATCTTAAAACATTTTTAAATTGGTCATGAAGTTAACGTACACATTCACAAATGAATAAAAGTCAACATTTTGAAATGCGGGATAATCAAGCTAAAGTTCTTGGGTAAATGTTTGTAACACACTCAAAAAAAAAAAAAAAAACAACATATATCCTGATTCATTATTGTATTACTTGTTTCACCTGTATATATTGGGCGCAAAAGAAAGGAATGTACTCTTAAAAGAAAATTAAGAGTAAATCAGTTCTTAAGACATAATACCACATGAGTTTTGTAAGTCTTGCAAACATTTAACAGTAATTTTGAATTGTTGGCTTCAATATTAGAGTGAATTGACCTATTATTAAACTCTGCAGAGTACATTATCTTGTCAATTTTTTTAAAACATTTTAATTTTTAAGCAAGATGATAAATTTTAAAACGTAATATTTAAGTTAGAAAGAATTTGCTTACAAATTGAAATATCTTAAAATCGAATGAACAAATAATAAACATAGATAATAATTGCCAAGTAATTCACTCTAATATTAAAGCTAACAACACAAATTTGGTTCTGCTGAACGGTAAATTACTACCTACTAAATCAGAGATTAAACATGTGAGTGTGATGTCCCAAAGGTTAATATCAGACAGAAATTAAATGAGTATATAAAATATTATCCTAAATTATACATATATACTGCTCACTCTCTAAAAATAATGAATACTCTTGAATAGGGATTACAAAAAAACATTTAAATAGGTAGTTACTTAAAGAATTGCACAAAGGACATTCGGTATCCATGTTGTTCAGCAACACCAGCACATACCATATTACATGAAGCAGCTATCAGTGTTCCATTTCCTAAAAATTAAAATAAATATTTGATTCAATAAATTGAATAGTTTGAAAGAAATATGTATTAAATCCTTACCACCAAGACAACCACCAAATGCTAATGCATATACCAAAGGTGGTAATGGTAATTCTAGCTCAGGATTTTTAGACAACGATGTTATCACCTTTATCATCATAGTAGTCAATGGAATATTGTCAACAAATGAGGAGACAATGGTAGAAACCCACAGAATCAAAATTATACCAACGGACAATCGGTACTCTTTGTCAACGGACATAATTATCATTTCTGTCTGTTTACCTACCCATTCAATTAAACCAAGCTCAGATAATGCCTAAAAATTAATACAAATAATTTAAATTTGTTTTCTCTATTTTTATCTGTTACAAAATATTACTCCAATTAAAATAAATAGTGCAGCGAAGAATGACAACGTGGCCCATTCAATTCGGCCCAGAACACATTCAATGTCAACGTGATCAGCAAGTATAAGCAAGAGTAATGTTCCAAGTAAAGCAATCCATCCAAGACTAAGATTTAGTTGAGGAAATGAATGCAGGCAGAATAGAGTGATAACAAATCCTAATGTAATAGCACATTTCCACAAAAGACTTTTATCTAATTGACTATCCTGAAAAAAGTAATAATATTACTTGTTAATTTTAATTATATAACAGTAAGACCTAATGTAATCACATTACCTTATTCAAAAAATCCTTGATGGATTCATCATAAGACTGAAGTCTGAAAAGTATATAATAGGTATTTGTTATCTTATAAAATAAAACAAATTCATATTATTATATTTTCACATATTCACCAAGCAAATTTGACTTATTAGAATCAAAATGTATATAAGTAGTTTTTGAGTTATTTAACTTTGTGTTCTAAGGATAAAGGTCCATGGTAATGGATGCAAGGGAAATGTAGTCTATGGTGATTTGAAAATAGTAGTCATCAATACATTTATTTATCAACGTTAATAATTTGCAAAAATGGGTCAATATAATATATGTACTAGTTTCAATACCTATGTTAATAACTAAGAGATATTTCAAATTTTAAATTAAATATTTTCAAAAAAATTATTTACTAAATAATTTGTAGTATAGAAGTAGAGTTTTCATTTGAATACTGAGATTTTTATCTTCACAGGGCATTCCTTAAGTAGTACAAACAAAGTGCCCAAGTATATTTAAAAATTCCAAAAATCACAATTTGTATAAATTAATTATTTAAGGAAAAAATGGAGGTGAGCATGTTTGGTGAATCACCCTGTATAGCCAATTGGTCCATTTAAAATTATAATACTTTGATATAACTACTGACAAAAATTAATAATACTACAACATTTTTTTTTAGCTGCAACTATACAAAGTGATTTTTGAGCACACTCACTCCAATTTTCTCCTTTAATATTACATTTATTCAAATTCTAACTTTTAGAATTCTTAAGTAGCTGTCTTGAAGACCATATTTTTAAATTCCTGATCTTTTTTTTATTACTAATAGAGTATCCTGTGACAGATACAAACTTATATTTTTCAAATCGGGACCTCCCATTTTTACTACAAATTATTTATAGGATGATTTTCTTGAAAATGAATATGTTTCTAAATCAAAAATCCTAATGATTGATGTAGTAATTATTATACTATCATATTTACAAATTATTTATATTGATAGATTAATACGTATTTCTAACATTTTCAAATTATCGAAGCACCATGTCTTCTTAACTCATTACCATATACATATTGTATATTTAGTACAAAATAATAGAACTTAAAAACTACTCATTAGAAGTTTGACTTAGAAAGTTAAAAACATCGAAATTCTAACCGAAAAAAAATATCTGATGAATAATTAAAAGTGAAACCACCTTCAATGGTGAAAAAATATGTCTTTGTGTATTTAAAAATACCAAAAATCAGAATTTGAATAAATGCATAATTTAAGCATAAAAAAAGCATTTTGTATAACTATATTATTTAGAAGAAGTAATATATTTAATAACATTCATAGGTACCTTTCTGTAGGCACAACATCAACCTTGAAACCTTTAAGAGTTTCTTTAAGCTTTGAAAATATAGTTTTACATTTCCTTAGAAGTTTATCCCTTACAACGCCTTCTTCCTTTGAATAAGAAGACAAAGAAGATGCAGCTTTTTGCCAAATCGCCAATTCTTGTCTCAATTCTATAAAATAGTAATAAATGGCAGCAATTTAAATATTATTTTTTTAGTTGAATTTATAAATTATAATGATTTGTTGAATTGAATACAAAAAACTTAAAAAATATACAATGATCAAATTGCTAAGAATAAAATATGAAGATAAAGGATTATAGAGTAATTTTATGATAGAAAATTATAATGATTGGATATTATTATGATAATCTTAGGCAGGTACACTATTAGTATTTGCAGTATTTATTATTTAGTATTCACTAATCACTATAACAACTACCCTATATCAGATATATCTAAGCAATTAGAATTTTTTTTTTTTAAATTTTTTTCCTATAAATGGATTATCAATTAAACTAGAAAAGAATTAACATATAGCAAGTATAACATTTTTAAAAAAAAATAGGATTATAGTTATTTTTAGTTAAAATATATATAATGCAATTATATTTTGTATACCTGTAACATTAGTAGGTTCAGTAAATTTTAAATCTTGCATATTACGGAAAATAAATCTTAAATGTAGATTTACTGCTATAAATATGAATACCAAACCACCGCCCATATGTAATGAAAACGTTGTAAAATCAATTCCCTGTAAAAATATGTTATATTATTATTATTCATGATAGAAATAACTAGGTATGACACAGATATGGTATGACCATGTGGGGACATACTACATAGGTATTCCATGTATTACAACATGCTTGGTGGTTTGTATAGCATTATAAAAATGTGTTATTTTTCACATAAATATGCTAGCCAATTTATCATAGAGCTTGATGTGACTTATAGATTTCTATACCTACCACACTAAAAACTCTGAATAAGACCAACTCAAAATAATTTAAGGTCATCCGCCATATTGCAGGGTGGAAAGATTTCCATGCATATCAAAGTTGCGATGTTGCTCACAGTTTTGGGTAATAATATAAGTAACGAAATACCCAAAGTACCTATACATATTATTTATACATCCATACCAATTTCTCTAACCAGAAAATAGTGAAGCAAGATACATTCAATGACACAAGTCGCTTGTCTAATCTGGACTTGTATGCCTCTATTAGTCTGTAATGTGATCATACCTGGTTATTTTCATCATGATATTATCATTTTAAATCAATAGGTATTTATCATTGGGTAATAGTAACGTAAATAGTAAATTAGTAAACTTACACTTGCAATAACGTCTTTATTCGTTCCAATTATTACATTTGGTGGATCACCAATTAATGTTAAAGCCCCTCCTAAGTTTGCATAAAATATTATACACATAAGTGTGGGCACTGGATTCATTTGCATTACTTCACATAACCTAGGACAACATTTTTATTTAACTGCTGACATAATGACATCCATGGATTGTAATGAGCAGACCAAAAAAATATGGCGTGTAATATACACCACATAATTATATTAAGATAAATTTTTTTGTAAATTATATGGCCATTAAAATAATTACCTTATGGTTATAGGTGTCATTAGGAGAACGGTGGTAACATTATCCAATATAGAAGATACCATCGCAGTAAAGAAGCATAATGTGTTGATTAATGGCCAAATTTTGCCTCTGGTTTCCTTCGATAAAATCAATGATTAGCTTGGTAAGTTAACACTACACTGTGATCTACGTAAATGTCTACTCAATATTTGAAAAACTTTTTTTATAAATGAATTGATGTAATCACAAAACAACATTTTTTACAATTTTTACTGTTATCATTTTTTAAGTTTTTTATTTTTTGAATAACGGCTAACATTTTTATTTGTTATTTTAAAATAGAATAATTTTCAGTCTTTTATACATAACCGTTTTGAATGAGTTGTTCTTTAAAGTTTAGATGAGCGATGTTGAGTGGCACAGTGGTACTCCTTAAAATGTTAGTCTACTATTTCTACTGCTTATCTAAACTTTAAATACTTGTAATTGAACCAGCTATTTGAGAAACAACGGAAGTCCATAAAAGGTAATTCTGAGAAAACAAGAAAAAACTGTTTTTACTCTAACGGTGATACATGGTTATTTCTATCTCATACTGATTATTTAGTGATAAAATTAAATATATTTTTTAAAAATGTTCACACATGATCCATCTATCTTTTTATAACACACTCCACTCAATATCTCAATTTGTGATATTTTTTGACTTACCTAGTTTCTCAAATAGGTGGATCAATTAATTACCAACACGTCTATAATTCAAATTGTTATGTATCAAAATACTCTAAAAATTATTTCACTTAGGAATATTAAATTAAAAATGTTTGTTGTCATTCATAAAAGTTAAACCTAAAAAAATATAAAAAATGCATTCTTTTCAAAAACCCTATAGCACGCTATTTAATAATTTCCCTCTTCAAGGAAAATCTATGAATCATAAATATGTTTTTCATTAAATTATGAAAATGTAACATTTAAATCGATCACCATATATGCACATGAAAATAAACTATTTGGTATTTATGTTAATACTTTGTATGCTACGATTGCCAAGTAGTCGAAAATTCCTGTTTCGGATAAAATACCAACAATAACCATCATACAGAAAAGAAGAAGCAGCGTTTCAATATCCACCCAAGAGGACAGTTCATCTTTTGTTGGTCTCTATATAACATAATTAATAACTGCTAGAATTAGTTTTGATATTTATAAATCAATTATTATTATTATTATTATTATTATTATTTAAATTAGTTTACCTCGTCTAAAAGTGCTAATATGGAAATTGATGTAGTGGCTGCTAATATTGCTGCAATTGATTTGTGTACAACCTACAGAAGTAAGAATGTATAAAACAAACATTTTTTTGAGGAAAATGAAAAAGATTTATAACAGTACTATGTTTAGGACTGACATGAGAATAAAATAGGCTTGTTATAATAAAAATAAAGTATATAAAACAATATACTTTGATGTGTTCTTACCTCGGTTATAATTAGTACATAAAGTCCAATCAGTACAAGAGCAGCATAAATTATACCATATTCCGTGTTGATTGGAAACAAATCATATGTGAATGAAATAGGGAAGTTAGTACTCAATGTAGTATTCATACAAAGTCTAGTATCACCACGAAGAGTAACACTACAAAAAAATCAATGTATTAACAATTAAAACTAAGTTATAAAAGTATTGAATTAATCTTACTTGGAAAACAATTTAACAATTTTATTATGATGCATTTCAGGAACAACTTCAACAAGTGATTCACTCACAATTGGTATGGACCATATTTGGGTTATATTCTTTTAAAAACAAATAATTATAAGAAATAATAAGTAAGTACATTATATTTTACAGATTTTCTAATTTCATGTTTTTGTATCAAGCATAAATATAATTTTTAATTAATGTTAATATATACTAGTATTATTATTATTATTATAAAACATACCCTTTGATGCATATCTTCATTCTTCAATCCTAATTTTGGTTGCATATCATATTCTTCAGTTGGATCAAACTCTATCCAAATGTTAAAATAATGTGTTGCCAAAGTACTATAATAATCAGGCATAAATGCTCCAGCCAATATCAATTGTATTTTATTTGTGTTAGGCATGTGGTTTTTATATATTATCTGAGCTAGAATACAACATTTTTAATAATTTTTTACTTAGGTAAATATAAATATATTTTATAAAAGTCATACAATTGTCAATTATACATGTTTATTACTTTTAGTTTCATTTGGAGCTAATGTTACTTGATGGACATCATCTACTTTTCTTTCTTGTTTTGCCATAAGAACTATCTGTAACCCAATAATTAATAATAAAATAGAACACTAAGTATCAATAAAGAGCTTATTAAAACCTCAAATTAGGCAACCTTTTAACTTTTCTAATTATAGACCGTCTATAAATTGAAACACCATTATTAAATTCATGTTATTTTTTATGTTAAAACAAAGAAATGTTTTAAATAAAAATATATGATATACCTAATACCTACATAATGAACACATAGATTCTACTGGACTCTTTCTACATATTATGAGCCATAGGCTTTATTTTAGGTTAATACAGACTTAACGTCAGAATAAAACAAATAACTTACGGTACAAAAAAGCCAAATACATATGAGAATAATGGAAACTGTATATTTACGGCCAGACGTTTTTTTCGCATGCAAGAACTTATGTGTTGATGTCCTATTAGAGACAAAAATAATAAGTTAATACTTATAAATTATAAAATCAAGCATATTATTATCGAAACAACATACTTTTCACTAAATGATTTGGACCTAGTCGACTTAAGAGATGATGGCTCCAATTCGTCTGGAGTCATAGCTACCGTAGACGATGGTCCGGCAGAAGAATCGTCAATAAACCTTGAAAACATTAATATTATTAGTTAAGAGGGCGTTATATCTGCATGTGTTGTCTCTGTCTTACCAGAGCGTAACATAACAAATTGTACGTTCAGCAGCTCTGTTAGTTTAAAAATAGAGTGAATTGACCTTTTATTAAAACGAAAGACAAGATTATTATGGAAGGCATCTCATGGGCTTTTTATTATATTTTAATTTTAAAGAGAGTTATGAGTATTTTAAGATGTACAATCAATTTACAATTTTAAAATACTCATAATACGCGTTTTAAAATTGAAATATAACAAAAAGCTTATCAGATGCCCTCCATAATAATCTTACCTATCTTTAGCTTTAATAAGAGGTCAGTTCACTCTAATTTTTAAACTTACAGAGCTAAACGTGATCTTCTGAGCTTAAAATTGGGTATGTTGCGCACTTGTAAGACGGAGACAACACATGCGGGTATAACGTCCTCTTAGTCTTAAGCATAGACATAATATATTATGTCTATGGTCTTAAGTATTTATTATAGCTTAGGTACAGATCTGATTGAGTTTTAGAATTTACTTGTTTAGTTTAGATTCCTTCAATACATTTAGTCATTTTTGAAACATCAAAAACCCACTTACCTATGTTTAATTAGTTATAATAAGTCAATTCATACCTCTGATACATATTGTGATGAGAATTTGAGATTATTTTCGACTCTGAACGGACTCTGAACTCCTGTTTTTCGGCGACGGTTAAAACGCAGAAATAACAATAATTATAACTTTTATTTTTCGTTTTTTTTCCGAAATAATAAAACAAGAAATTATTATTATGTTATGATCAAGTATGAGAAAAACAATTCAGGTAAAAAACAAAATAAAAAGTGTGCGATTGTTTTAGATAGGTTATTCGCTATGCATTATAAATTATAATAATAATATGATTTTGTGCAAGCGATGTACTGAAAACTACAAACTAAAAGTGTGACGAGTAAATATTTATGTATAAGCGTTATACTCGATGTGTTAGATACCTAGTTAGATATTAAATTGTGAAAATTAAATACGATTTAAACCATGCGTACTTTTATAATTTGATAAGTGTAACTGTTACAATATTATAGGTGGTTTAAACGTTTTATAGATAAGTAGGCAATAATTAATGCGATGCGAATTCAGATATGATCACCAAACGACAGATTAAATCGATAAAAATTACCCGTACCATAGTCCACAGTTTACACTCCACACTACATACAGGCAACTGGCAAAGTTGCAAACTGCATTCGGCTGTCAAGTACCTAGATATTCGGAAAAAACATGTAACACGCCTATGAAATTTTTTTTTTTTTGACGCCCATTGCAATGCCGCAAATTGTCAATAACACAATAATATTATTATGTAATATTACACTTTCTACATTGTAACTACTTGCAACAAACCTATAACAATTATTAAATACAAAATTGTAACCATAACGCTTTTCAAAGTTAGATACCTTTATTATTATGGCGTCATTCACGACACGTGTATAATAAATAATAATAATACGTATACCTGCATATAATATACTCACGCAGTCACATGTAATATTTAAAACACCACGTAGCCGAGCTTCCAATTTTCACCTATCTTATACATCTATATTTAATAATTAATGGCATAATATTGTCGATAGCCTGTACCTATGTATATTATTTATTTATTATTTACGATAGAGCGAGAGAGAAATAAATAACAACGTCAAACGACGACCATGTTTCCCTTTCCCTTACACATTAGGTACTAATATTACGGATAAAATATACCTACCTACGTATTTATGTCGTTAGTTAGTATAGTCACTGTTTGAACAGGTGGCCGGCCGGCAGGGCCCATGTTAAACAGCCGCCAGTCAGACTTTGAAGCAAAACGAATGAAAATTAAAAATTTGCCATAATGCCATAAAATATTCAATACTTCATGGCCGCACATAAGTGTCCTACCGGCTACCATCGATGTCGACATTTGCGTTGAGGTAGTACAATCTCAGATGTCCGAACTTTACTGTAGAACCACCTGCTAGAACTGTAAAACCGCAACTCACATTCCAGTGGCCACAACATGATCCGATACGTAATAGATACCTAAACGTGCATTTCCCCAGACCCACCCATTTCAAATTTCCCAAATTTTTCTACGAAAACTCCTAAACCGCATGCGCTTTCTCCGTCTTGACTAATGCATAACATATCACATACCTAATACATATTTTGTACATACCAAAACTTCCGTTTTCCAATTTTGTGTTGTTAGCTTAAATATTAGAGTAAATTGACATATCGCCAAACTTAGAGGTAAGAACATTATCTATATTTTTACTCATGTTGGTTTTTTCGATAATTTAATTTTTAAGCAAGTTATAAGTGTGCAAAATATTAAAGATAGAAAATTCTCATAACTTGTTTAAACATTAAAATGTTTTTAAAAAACCAAATACTCAACAAAAATAATGTTCTTACCTTTAAGCAGGGGCGTCATTTTAGTTTTTTTCGGGGTAGCAAACTTTTAGGCAGGCCAATTTTCCATTTCCCCAGGCCATTAAAAGAAGTATAGTTATATGTTTAATGTATTAATATATATAAATGTAGGTAACTTATTTGTAAACCTATGTAAATATTCTTTCCACCCCTTTTATAATTCTAATTGAAACTCATAACGACTTATGTAATTTTTAAATAGCTAGCAATTCAAAGAATTAAAAGCTTATAAACAATTAAAGCTACCAGCTAAAGCCATTTCATTATTATTTGAAAAAAGGCAAATAAGGTATTATCAATAAACCTGATAAACTAAAAATATACAAGAACTTGAAAAAAAAATATTTTATTTATATCAGGTACCTATGCATGAAATCATAATATTGTATAAGTTAATTATGACGGCGCATTGGAATATTAATGGCGGGCCAATTTTTCACATTTTTTAAGTTAGTGATACCGTTTTATACCTTGCCCCCCCCCCCCAAATGACGCTCCTGCTTTTTAGTTTGATGATGGATAAATTCACTTTCATATTAAATCCAACAACACAAAATCGGAACTGCTGAACTCAAATTTACTATGTTGCCTATGTCTAAGACAGCATAATTGTATTATGCGGTCGTGACGTCCTATTAATAAGAGTTCAGAGTTGGTATGTTGTTTGATGATAGGCGGTTTTTTCCACGGCTCACATTGGAGTAGGAACAATGTGACCAATAATAATAAACAACTAATAAATGTATAGGTATTATAACAGAATATATTGAGCGCCCACGATAATAAATACAATACAATAATAAATTCAGATAATATATTGTACATGACAATATTAAAAGAATAAAATAACACATAAATACACATATTGGGTAAGTATCCAGTACCGCAAAATAAAATAGAATAATAATATTAAATAACAAATATAATATGTATAAATGGCACCCACGAAAATAAATACAGAAATATGACTGTATATTACTGTGATATATTTATAAGATAGTATTGATAACAATTTATCTATTAGGTGCCGACAATTATATCCAACTGTTGACGGTTGACGGGTAAGATCCAAATAATATAGCGATGACATTTTATGATGCGAATAAGTAATTTGGGTTGCAACTCACTAAACTGCCACCGAAGGGTGAAGATGGGTGGTGACACGACAGCGAAACAAGTTCGAGGCCTTAGGCTAGATTTAGACTTACTTGCGACTAGACTTAATTTGCAGCCGTAGCCTAGCATATAACACAACTTGATTTATATTTATGTATTTTTTTTTCTCTTCTTTTTCCCCAAAGTAGCTACTAATGTTAAACTCTCTTATATATTTATATATTTATTTAAAATGTAATTGGATTTTATTCCGTAATAAACAATATTATTATTATTATTATTATTATTATTATAACCTTAATGCACCGAAAAAAGCCCTACACACATTTTTAAATCCCCC